AGTAGAGAGAGAGAGAGAGAGAGAGAGAGAGAGAGAGAGAGAGGGATGATATACTAAAACACATTAATATCGTTTCTTTTTTCTGACATCTTTAGAAATGAAATTTTGAGAAGTAATGTCAGACATAACAGAATAATGCTAATTTGAGCAAATTTCAATTTAATTTCGAAATCTAAAATTCTCATTCAGTACTACTACTATAACAACAACAATCCTTTCATTGTTGTCGTATGCAAATTAAGTAAGCACTAATGGCTGCAAAAAGAAACAAGAAATCACCGTGAAAAAGGTCGCATACTTCTTATTTCCTTTGCATCTTGTCAAGTTGAAGCATTCATCTAAGGCTAATCGTATTTTTTAATTTGTTATCTTCAAATATTTTTATCCTTTTCTATTTTCTTAAATAAAAATGCAAATACAATTATTATATTTGAAAGGATAGAAAAGCTGAAGGAAGTGACGTGATTTCGATGGAAAAACGAAAAGTAATCTTGTTGGCTCATAAATAATCGAAAATTAAATTTAAAAGTAAAAAGTTTTTTAGTAATTGAGACTTCTGTTTCGAGCAAATGAAGTTTTATTTACTTGAAATATTATGAATGAGTAAATGTTGAATTTAGATCGGAAATAAGATAAATAATGAATGACGTTTGTTCGAATTACCATAATAATGCGATGATTTTAGAAAGATCTGATCTCATGATAGGAAACAATTCAACGAACTTATTAGTATAATCAAACGAAAAAAAAAAAACTTCAAGAGGAAAAGAATATATCGATACGGATAAATTTGCAAAAGCTATAATTCCCGGTAAGAAAACGAAATTATTCAGAAAAAAAAAACTTATCTAAAAAAAACAGAAAAAAAAATTATTTGGAAAAAAATACATGACCAAACAGATATGAAATGGATATTCTACTTGAAATATATGAATATGTGATTACTAACAGTCAACAATTCTTTTCAGCTAAATATTAGTTATGAATTTGGAAATATTAATGAACATTTTGCAGATTATAATGTTCAATTTGCACAATTATCATAAATAATTTAATAAATGTTTCGATCTGGAAAAAGAAATAAGAAATGCGCCTTTTTATATGGCAATGAATTATGAAATAATAATTTTTTTTAGGAATACTTTTTAATGAGTTTTATGCAATAGAATATTCAAATACAGGACATATTCGATATAATTTTGCAAACCAATGATCATTTTATAATTTAAGGTGGAATTATTCAAACAAATATATTGCGGTTTTTCTTTTTTTAAAAATAATATATGGCTTATAACACCAAAAAATCATACTAACATCTGTTTATGCTTTCTGTGACAACAAATTTCTCATCAAATAATGATTTTTACTCAGCAGGTGATACTTGTCATTTGCTGCTAATTTAGTGGATAACACAACACAGCAAAATTTCTCTTTATTTTATCTCAAACTTGGATAATTAAGCTAATTAAACAAAAGAAACTCCATTCATGTCGCATAATCATTAAGAGTTACAAAACACGATGCATAAAGCTAATTCCATAGAGATGTCGCCATAAGATAATTTCAAAGACATCAATTTGAAGAATATGCGAAGGATATATGAATCCTTCAGAGATTAAACGATCGCGTGGATGGACGCTTATATTAGCGCATATCGCAAACAATAAACATAAATACAATTCTGTGTATAGCTACGTGTACAGAAAAAAAATTTGGATGATTTTATTATATTTTTCTTTCGTGCATAACTTCTTCACATTTGCGACAGCTAATACGTCAAAATAAATTTTATCAAATCTTAGTATTACCTATGCTAATCTTGATGGATTAAAATTCAGCTATAAAAGTTAAATCAGCTTTAACATATATGAACCCATTTCGATAACAGATGAAAAAAAAGTGGGAATAAAAATGGGAGAATGACTGATGATTTCAAAATCAACAATAACAGCAGAAAATTAGAAAAAGGAAAAATTGGAAAATGAATAGTATTTAAAGCTGAGATCTCATTAGCCTCTGGTTAAACAATCTCAAATTGTACCAAAATGCAACTTATCTTAAATTTTGATTTTCTTTCCCTTTGTAATATTCGATTGCGAGATGATTCCGTCTGTTATTTTAAAACTTCGTTCTACAGCTAGGCTAACTATCCAATTTCAATCTTTCATTCTCTCCAACTTCTTCTTGCTAAATTTGCCAACTTCTACAAGACGTGTTTCGATTGTTAATCTAATAATTACAGTTTCATTTCTAAATATAACAAAAGTGATAATACAGTAAATTTAAGAATTTCAATTCGTTATACGTACTGTGAATTGAAAGTGTTCCAAAAAAGTAAAATACCAACTGAAGTGAAAAAGAAAGAAAAGGAAACTAAGTCAGTTAGCAACTAAATGGAATAATTAAAAAGAAAGTTGATTCGTCACTTTGCCTTCAAAACGACAATTGCATTCAGTGAGGAATTATAGACTTCTATGACATTTCAGCGAATCTCTGATATGCTATCACCCTCAGGAGCAAAAACTCAAAAAGTGAGCAATCATATGCAAAAATAAATAAAATTTGGTTAGCATCTTTTCTGATTTGATGAATTGCAGTCTCACGAATCTTGTTAAAACTTCCTAAATTCAAAGTTTGTTCCTGCATAATTTATTTCCTGCTTTCATCTCACTAATTTGCTTTTTTTAGTTTTTTGAAGCAATGAATAATTATTCGAAGGAGACACTATTTAGTAAAACCAAGATCAATTTTTTTTTTTACTGATTTACTCCAGAACTGATTTACTCCAGATTACCTGATTTACTCCAGAACTTTATGCTCATTTCAGAATTCTTGACTACATACGTCCTGGGAATTGATCCTTGCGTGATAATCCTCGAACATAAGATTATACTACTTAAAGAACTTCGTTACATCCATCAATTTCGCTTTCTACAACGACGTCACAGTATTACACGAACGTGTTGGTAGATGAATGTTTTCACGGTTGTTGCAAACCGTGGAATATTTTAGAAGCACAACGAAACTACATGCTAATTGTGAACCAGGAAAAGTGGTCAAATATCAGTCGTTTCATCCGGGACCAGGTTTTAAGTACTGTTGTAGTTATTGTGACCTAGATCTAAGTCCAAGCTAAACTGATTCTCATACATATAAAGTCCTTCAAGAAGATATTGACATCATATATTTTACTTCTCCAATTTAAACAATTGACTTTGTACCGAAATATAGATATCAGGTCTTAATTCAAGTATTGAATTGTTTATCGTCCATTCGTCCTTCGTCTAACTTTCGGTACTGCCATTTAAATAGCATTTTGAACACTGAAGTAAATGTCTCAAAATATCAAGTTGTAACAACACCATTACTGAATTTCCCCAGAACAGAAATACGTAATGTGCGATGAAGAAGAGAAGGAACGAAATGGTCGTTCAGAATTTGACATTGGTACAAGAGGTCGTAATTACCGAAGACGAAATTTCGGCAATGGACGTCATTTTAGCGGACAGGATGATGGAGATCAGCGAGAAAGGCGACGACATGTCGGTTTAGAAGAAGGTAAATTTGTTCAGATTTTCGGAAAAAAGTAAACGCAAAAGTAAACGCTATACAGAAATAGAAGTGTGTAATGAATAAGTAGCAGGATTGTTGTAGACGATATTTCATGCAAGCGAAAACGACATGGTTCAGATGCGGTGAAAGATGAAATTATGTACAAATTAACAGAGCTGCTAACACGTGTTGGTGAGAAGGTATATAATTTCGTCTTTTTCTAAAGGTTTACTGTTTCAGAGTTACCTCTCTGTTCGTAGCATTATACATCCTTGAAAAACTTACTAGTAGTAGTGATAGAAAGCAATCTAGTGATTAAAGCCCACAGAATTTGATTCGAATTAATAGACAATGCGAAAGGGCATTGTTAATGTAATAGTGAAATAACCAGAAAGGCAGGAGGAAGCTGTTTAGCCTTGCTTGGTTTAATCAGTACCCATGTTAAACCCTTATGCTTCATTTTTCAATTGAATTTAGCATATCCAGAAAAATATTCCCTCCTAGCCTTTTTTCTATAAAATCTGTTCAGAGCAGTTCATCATTAGAATCAAATTTGGAAAGTCTAGCGCAAGTTTTGGAAACGGATTTGGACACGTACAAAGAACACATCATTGAAATTCTCGTGAACTGGTATGTTTAGTTCATTTTAAATATTTCTAGACGTATATTTCTAGACGATTTTAAGTTATTTGATATTCATAATGTCTGGTCAGCATTTTATTGGTCTAAAATTTCACGAAATGTTGCTGTTTATATTCTATTTTTCAGTATATGCAATATGCCGGATAAATTGACGGTTTATTCCACTTTGGTTGGGTTGCTGAATGCTAAGAAATACAATTTCGGTGCGGAGGTGCTGCATTTTATGTTTCGATTCTGCAAAATTTTTCACAATAGATTGTTGTACCGAGTCTCTTTATTGCATTCATCATTTTAATTTGCAGCTTTTGGACAAACTGCTTTCGAGATTGGACGAATTGATGAAAGCGAATGATTTTGATCACGCTTTATACGTTGTAAAATTTTCAACTCTTCGTGTTATTTTGGTTTTTTTCTACAAATTTATTGATTTTATGTGCGTTGAAATCAGAGTTGAGTGTTTTTATTGGAAAACTGGATAAATGGAAATTGAGAATTTTATTAGTGACTTTAACACTAAATTTCGTTGGAAATACCAATTCAAGGTATATCCATAAAAGCTTTCTTGGGATTATTTATTTGTTGAATTTTGGTATTATTCACTTCTTGCAGGAGTTATAATTCATAATTTATGTTTCAGGTGATATTTTTTTCTGATTTGGTCAACTGTAGGGTGATCACACTGGATTCATTCGTAGATTTCCTTGGCGATCTCGTAAACAGTGCTTCCCAAGCAGGGATACCGCAGGTATAGCTTCATAGTTCGCGTATTTATTAGATCGTGAATTTTGATTGGACCATTCATGTCTATAAACCCATTACATTAAGTGGGTTCGATTCGGCTACGTATTGCTTTTTCAGGTAAGACGTGATTGGTTTATCTATGTGTTTCTGCATTGTCTTCCTTGGGTTGGCCAAGAGCTTGCCGAAAAAAATGAAGACCAGTTAAGTGCTATGTTGGACACTGTTGAAAAATATCTGCACTCGCGAAATAAGGAGCATGTGAAGGTACATTAGGGTTTTTGGGATTTTTGATATTTGTTAAATCTTTTTCAAGTCAGTAAGTGATTTAGGTTATTACTTTGATTTTTTTTTTTTGTTTTGCATACCTCAATCGATTCTGAGAAGTGTTTGTAGATTCTGCAAGTTTGGACAAGATCTATTCACGAACAAGAAGAATATTTGGATTGCTTATGGGCGCAAATCTTGAAATTACGGTCTGACAGATGGAGGGAAAAATTTATCACCCGTCATTATGTTGCTTTTGATGGGACATTAGCGGATGCGTTACAGCATAGTTTGCCAAGGTGTATTTTTTCATCTGATTTCTTCTTATCGTGATTCTTATTGCCTATCTTGTTAAAATTTTCTTTTAAGAAAGTCAGACCGGAACTAAAAATGATTAAACAGAAGGTCGAGAAAGAAAAGATAGTAGAAAGGCACTCACCTTCGCCCATAAGAATCGCTAACTACCCTTAAACTTTATGCCTTTTAGAAATTAACATCATTTCCACCTGTGTATTGGTTTATTTTCACATGACTTTGCTACATTTAATTTAAATATTTTTTTGTTGTTAACTTAATTCAGTTACTTTCTTCAACTTTTTGTTATTTCAGCTTTGAACCACCACCACATACTCCGAACAGTATCTATCCTCTTCCGAGTGTGGTGTTCCGCTTTTTTGATTACGCCGATTGCCCAGATGATGTAAATTTTTTTTGTTTACGAATCCTTAAGTTTTATTCAGAGTTTAGCATAATAATGTGATTCACACTGGTTTTTCTTAGCTGAAAGCGCCCATTTCTTTAATATTTCATTCATACATTTTATATATCTAAGGGACCGCTTCTTCCTGGGGCGCATTCTATAGAACGATTCCTGGTTGAAGAGGAATTACGGTGGATCTTGGATCAGGAAAAAACAAACAGAAAGAGATGGTATATGCATTTTGAACAAGCTTTTTTTTTGGTTTTTTGAAGATAATTTTTGTTTCACTACCTTTTTGCTCTTAACCTCATTTCTCAAGATACTTTGTCGAAATTGCCTACTGATAGCTCGTCATTTCTTCACTTTGCAGGTTTCTGCACGTTGGATAGGGAATTTGTCTCTTATAATGTTATTCAAGTATTGAAATTTTAGTGCATCAAGGTTATTGGAATACGATAAACGCACATTAGTACCAATAAACTATGTTATATTAGAAGTGATCTTTTCACAGTTGTTTCATTTACCCGAGGCACCTACTCGGCCAATATTTTATGGAAGTTTATTGATCGAATTGTGCAAAACTAAAAGTATGCCTCAGGTAAGTAAATTTGCAAAAGTCACCTGCTTGGTAATTTGCTCCTTAAATTTTTCGTTGCCGTCGGAAAATAGATTGTATCCATTTATCATTCAGGTGATTTCCTTCCGTCCGCTGTTTTAAATTCATTTTGCTTAGCGCTTACCGAAAGGGGGAGAATTTTTAAATTTTTGATTCACATGTTTTTGCTTTTGTAACTTGGGGTAGGAATGTTTCGTTTCCTCAACATTTCATTTTAGGAATAAACATAATATATATTAGTAGATAAGATAATATATGTTGGTAGATGTCCTTTTTTCTTTCATTTTAGATATTTCGTGCAGTTTAATTTCACTTAAGCGGGTAGCATTAATTTCAAGTGTGTTGCTATAATATACAAATCGGTTTACATTAAATTTTCTTCAGGTAATAGCACAAGCTGCCGAAATATTCTACCAGAGGATAGATTCGATGCAAGTTGCTTGTATCGATAGGTAAACATTCCATAATTACTTTCTCATTTCAGAGGTAAAAGTATCTTTTGATTTACTGCCATTACGTTTCTCTTTTCAGGTTAATCGATTGGTTTAGCTATCATATGTCAAATTTCGAGTACCGATGGTCATGGTCGGATTGGAGTGACTGTACTGAATTAGATCGTCTTGCTCCAAAGCATATATTCGTACGGGAGGTGACTAGATTGCAGTATCTTGATTAATATTTTCTTTGATTAGATTGTGTTTCATTTCTCTTTTCAAACTTGGACAAACAGAATAATTTGATGATAAACTGCTATGTCTTTCAACACAGCAATTAGGTTTTTTGTAGATGTTTCATGTTAATTCCTATTTAAATGTTTGAAATTTGCGAAAAATAAATGCAGGTACTGGATAAGTGTATGCGGCTATCATACCACCAAAGATTAGCAGAGTTCTTACCTCCTGCATTTGAAAAAATGATACCACAGAAACCTGTTATATCCTACGATCTCAATGATGGTAATTTTCCTTTCATTCAAAATTTCAACATTGCTTCCGTCAAATTCTTAATGAGTTTAGAAAGTCCCAAGGACCTCTTCCCTTAGTATAATTGGCGGCAATTTATATTTGATTAGAATATGCCAGTAACACATATTTTCATTATTCACAGCAATGAACAATACTCAAGGGAATTAAGAAATAAAAAATATATCGGTGAAATTTATTTATGTTTACTGGATTATTCCTTCGTTTAAGATGAACATCCAGACCGTGACTTTGCTATAACTCTCGAAAAAGCCTTTCGCGAGAAAATATCAGCTGATGAGATGATTGATTTATTGCGTAGCAAAACTGGAAATCGAATGGATATCAACTCTAGATTATCTATTTTTTTCAAAGTACTGCTTTATTTAGCTCGAAAAACTTTCAGTCACAATTTTGCTGCATTAACGAGGTGGGTCAATTTTGATGATACAGCATAAATTTATTTTGACATGTCACTTTTGATTTGTAAGCTGTTTCTTCTTTAGGGGATAGGCTCTTGTGGTCACAAAACTTCTAGTAAGTACGTTTGGAAGTTTTCGTTTTCTGATCTGTTAATAGACATTGCTGTTTTGCATTAATAATCTTCGCGATGCAGCTGATGTTGCAGTTTTTAGATCTACGTTTTTAGATACGTGCTTTTAGAAACTACTTTTTAGATCAACACACTTTTAGATCTACATGCTAAGCCTGTATGACTAGTTGCCTAACCGAGCATAATCTTAACATTTAGCTTTTGATGATATAAAGCTTTGATAAAAAAAGCTGGTTTATGTTTCGACATATACATATTGTTGTACTTGGCATGTAAATACTGTTTCTTTCCGATAGATTTTTCGTCTTCACAGATATTACTCAACTCTGAAGGAGTTTATTGGCGGTAGAGAGGATGGGCAATTAACTATTTTGCGGACGCTTTATGAGACCTGGAAGCTCCATGGACAGGTTTATTTCCTTCAAAAATTATTCGCTGTATTTTCCTCGATCTGTTTTCTTTTTGTTGCTATTTTACCAAGCTGTCCTGTCTAAGTCATATGTTTGTTGGCCCTTGATGGACCATTTTAAATGGCCTTTACGGTCCGACTTACACTATTGTTTGGTTTAGATATACTTGAATCTCCGTTGATAAAACTCAGAAACTAATACACCAAACTCCATTTGAGGCATCTGGGCCGCCGTGCATGGAATACGACAAATTGTAATATTAGTTTGTGTGAATTGTTTTGGAACATGCATTCATTTTCTGATGTTTGTTTCACATATTCTTACTGTATGTAAATATATGTGTATAGACCAAAATTATTTTCCAGATGGTAATAGTACTGGTGACAAAATTATTGAAAATGTCGCTGGTTGACGCTAGTGCTGTTGTGGCTTGGTTATTCAGTGAGGAGATGAAGCCTGAGTTTGAACGGTACTGGGAATTTCATTCTGTGTACAGTTGAAGACGAATTAATTTTAGTACTAGTATGTTACATTTCAGATTATGGATTTGGGAAGTACTAAATAGAGCTCTCGAACATGTCAGTGGGCATGTTCATCGAAGTAGACAAGCAATCGAGAACGCGAAGTTGAAAAAAGAGCAGAAAGAATTGGATCATGAGAAGGATGATTTTGTTAGTCTCTTCATGCTTTTTTTTATAAGGGCGATTCAAGGATTCTTTAAAAACAAAAAGAGCTATTGTATTAAATCGTTAGCTCCTAAGGAATTTCATACAACATTTTTTCATTTCTGTATGAATAATATTCTTGAAGGATATGGAAACAGATGAACATGACATGACCGATCCTAATACGGTGGAACCAACTGTTAAAGAAAGTGAATTTGCTGATTTGCATGAGTGCCTGAAAAACTTACTTCTTGACGTGCTTCATGCAAGTTTCCCTTGGCTCTTCATTTCTTGTTTTCGAAAATTGTAAATATATACGTGTCTTTCGTGTCGAAAGTGATGTCGATTGCTATTTGCTGTAAAATGACGTGGTGTAAAGTGCCAAGCGCCATTTGACCTTTTGGTATACAGTGGTTAGAATTAGGGATAGGTTGTTTTCATTAAGTTGATGAGTATGGCATTAATTAGAACCACCGGCAAAAAGAGTAGTCGTTTGGAGCTTCTAATTAGTTTCTTTTTCATTAGTCAAATATGGAACAGACTTCGATTTCAGAAGTTTATCGTTACCTTGGCGGAACACATCGTCAACAGCGAAAGCAGTGGGAGTGATTTCCAGAATAACTGGTACTTGTACGTCACTGGACGTTTCAAGAATGTATTTCTAAAGGTCAGCATTTTGTCATTTGTTTTTCAGTACTTGAGGACAGTGTTTCAGGGCTCGGTATATACGTCAGGGTAGATAGTGAGGTGCTTCAAGTAGTTTATCTGACTAAATTGACAGATGTATAATTAACATTATTAAAAGGATATTAGCAATGGAACAGTCCAGGTTCATTGCTATTCATGTCTCGCAGATTTTTACATTATCCTAAAAGGCACTTGGTGAGTGGCAATAACAATTACTGGATACCGATTTAAACAATGCTTTGTCATCCAGCTTCATACCGTTGTTTATTACCAAGCATTGGATCGGTTAACTGATTCAGTTTCCAGCATTGGAAGGACTTATTTGAATTTCGGGAAGCGCTGGAGAAAGAGCTTTTTAAGGAAATCGCTATCGATAACAATGTGATGGAAAATTACAATCAGTTTAAAGCACTTATGGCGTAAGGAGAGGTAATCACAATGCTGTGTTTTTGCTGTCAATCATAGAAATGTATGGAATTGGAATTCACACTTAAAACTGATTTTTGACTGTTAAATTCTTTCAATGAAAAGACAGGGAATGTTCAAATGGAAAAATTGAAATCTTGGATGTGGAAAATTTCAGCCTTAATTTCTCTCCACATCTGCCTTTTCGGGATGAACTTTAATGTGACAACAGTGTAAAATTACTTCGCAGTTGTGACTTATTTTTGCATTTGTTGTTTTTAAATTAAATTTCTATCTAGAACTTCGCTTCTCTACATTTCATGCATAACTGATACCAGCTAACACGGAATGGCATAATTTGTAATGTTAAACTACATTTTGTATTTTAATATGTCGTTGTAAATGCTCCAAAGATATGGGGTTTTTCTACCTAACACTTATAGCGACAGACAAGTACTACAGCATAGAACTGCAACAAATTTTAGTTTTAGACTTACAAAAGTAACTGCCATTATTCAATTAAAGTAACATCACGATACTGCGTGCAGTTATTTTGCGTTTGGCATTTCCTATTTGTAAGAGTAAAATCCTTCGCCAGACTTCTTTCCAAACTTTCCTTCAGCGACCAGTTTGTTCAGCATCGGATTTGGATCGAACTGCTTCTCATTTGGATGGGATTCGTGCCATCCTGAAATTAGGTCCCACTGTAAAAACTTTGTTTCTACATATGGGCTAAGCAGTCCATAAACTCACCATCCAGGATGAATTTTGTCGTATCAAGACCTACATAATCCAGCAGTTCAAACGGTCCCATTGGATAGCCAGCTCCGAGCTTCATTGCTGTATCGATGTCCTGTGGTGATGCATCGCCCCGTTCAACCATTCGAATTGCTTCTATCAGATATGGAATCAGCAGACGATTGACAATGAAACCCGGAGCATCCTGAAATTCGCGAATATACTGTGACACTGCATATGATTATCAGGTTCAGCTTACCTTGCATTCGACGGTCGTTTTACCGACCGCTTTCGCGAACGTCTGAAGAGCATTAAATGTATCATCGGATGTTTCTGTCAACCGTACTACCTGAAAATTCAGTCTTCACATATGGATTCGGACCAAAGACCCATACTTTTTGCTGACATGGCTCAACTAATTTTTTGTCCTTTTTTGGATTCGTATCCGACGACGCTTTTAAATTGCCCAGAAGTGATAGTTTTTTGAAACACGACAGATTTGTCTGTGAATCACTGAAAGGCTACAAGAACTGAAGATCAATAAGAAATGTAATGACTTACCTCACATAACTTCATTATTGGTACAGGATTGAAAAAGTGCAAACCGCCAAATCTTGATTTATTTTTTAAATTTCTTGCAATATCTTGTAGCTTCAATGAAGATGTATTGCTAGCAAGTAGTGTCGGTCTGGAACCGTAGTGCATGATTGATTTTATTCCTTATGAAAACGATGTGATAGAAATCACCAACATAGAAATCATAGAAATCACCAACATGTGCTGACAGTCTGATGTTAAGATGGATGTGCGGATAGTTATGGTATTTATTAGTCATTAGTTCAACAGCTACTAAATGTATCTAATATTGTAACCGCAAAGCAGCCTACTCGAGGATTATTACTGAGCAATAAGTTGATATTTGACACTGGATAATCATTTTTGAAACTACTGAAAGTCATACTAATTTTAACAACCAAGTGACAAAATTGACCATAAAAAAAAGACCTTGTAATAATAGCCTCAATTTGTTCAAACAATTTTTGCTTCATTGGCAAATTTTCGACAACTGCTTCAATCACTAAATCTGCCTTCTGAACACCTTCTCCAAGGTTTGTCGTCATCACTATTTTTTCCATTACATTTTCAGTGATTGATGCTTCCGGCTATAGTAGACATAAATTGACAAAACTCTCAGTTACGACGAAGTAATTAGCAACGAGCTGATATAAAGAAAAATAATACACGAGGAGAAGGTAATGGAAATAGCAAAAAAACAGTAACAGGAAATAATACATAACTATAAGAGACTAGCCTACCTTTACACCTTTCTTGCACTGCTTTTTTGTTAATCGTTCCAAATTGTTCCGAATATACTTTTTTGATTTATTCAAGACAGCATCCGTCTTATCGACTAATGTTACCATTATCGACGCTTGCGCTGCTACCTGTAATAAATGAATACATAGCTGTATAGGATGTGTATAAAAAATAAAAAATCATCTGACATTTCAGTCATGTAATTCATTATTTCCCATATAAAGCTTGGAGAAAGGTTTAAGAATATGAAGCTATTTCGAAACCAGACCTTTATATCACCAAAAAAATGATCCAGTGCAATATACAATAGAAAGATGAGTACAATTTAAAGCAAGTTATTTGGCAAAAATGTGAGAAACCTGTGCAATTCCACTACCCATCAATCCGGACCCAACTATGCAAATGTTCTTCACGGGGAATGCAACTGAACTGAGTTTACGAACTCTAAAATCAGATACTGCTCCAAATTTACTGCTTAGTTGCAACATTCCGAAATTGGGATGAACCTGAAATAAGCAAAAGTGGCAAGAAATGAAAAGTTCGGAAAATTTTCACCAGTAACCAAATTTATGCCAACGAGATTCAAGATGGTTTTAGAAGTTTCCTCCCTCGTAACATTTTACAACTTTTAGGTGGTCGAAAATCATTTACTTACAAGGTCATTTTCAATTCTCAACTATTGCTTAAGTTAACCTAGGCCCAAATTACTTTCGTAAATGATTCCTTCATTCAGTTCATTCAACTGAGATGAGTATTGTCATTTCTATACCACAGCAAGTTATGAATTGCAAAGTATGTCTTAAAACTATTAGCAATTTATTCAGAAGTTCCTACTCCTTATCTTGCCATGGTATATGAATTAACAATCACCGGGAAATCTCAAAACAAGAGCAAAGGATGCTCTGATTGGTTGACCAATCACATTACATATTAGTTGGCCGAAATATCTACAACACATTGATATAACTACGCAGCTTATGCATTACTGATTGGACGACCTAATTAAACAGTGATAAAGATGAGATCAGTTGTACTAATTGTCATATCTCTTCTTTTTTTTAGTACACTGTAAAAAATTGTGACAAATGATTGATTATATAAGGTGAAATCGTTGCTACTTCGACAGCAGGAAACATTATCATCTAATTTGTAGTGTTTTTTAAAATTAAAACAAACAGCTTAAAAGAAATCTAATAAGCTTGAAGAATGAGGGATAACTGAAGGTAAGCGAAAGAAAGATTTTATTTTTTACTTTTTATTCGGCGATTTTGTCTTCCCAAACTTAAATTTAACATTTCAGTTCGCAAATGACTCACCCCAAGATCTGCAGGAATGTTCCAGACGAGGAATAAATGCAGGAAAGAGATAGAATGAGAATTAGGGATCTGCTTTTCAATTTGATTTTCAAGGTTCAATTTGCAAACAATTTGCTTGTAAGCTTGAGAAAGAGCTCAATATGAGGAATGAAAAAGGAGCAGAAATTCTGAGGATTTCATTTTCTTTAATTTACTTTTCGAATTCCAATCTTTTCTTAAATTAGTTCTATTAGTTTTTATTCTGTCTCCTTCCTGCATTTGTCCTTGTCCGGAACATTTCTGCAGGTTTCAGGGAAGTTATTTGCGAGGTGAAATGTTAAACTTAAGTTTGAAAAAAATAAAATGTTCAGGACTTTCTTCCACTTGCCTTCAGTTATCCTTCATATCTCTTAATGGTTCTTGATTAGTTTTTAATTAATTTTTATCTATTAATTGACTTGTTATCGGTCACGGTTAATTAGTTGAACAGTGTCTCATTTTACCAGTTATCTTAGCATACCTTTTGCAATTTGTTCCTTTCATTACTCAGCTTTTTCATTACCTTTTTTTTAATTTTTCAGTTTTTTCATTTTTTCATTCCTTTCATTACTCATTTCACCACTCAGTTTTTGCTTACTTCTACAACAATACATCGGATAAATTGACTTCAAATCCTTACTTTTAACTGATATACCGGTTAGTGTTCAAAGATGGAATTTCAGTTTTAAGAACAACGTACACGCAGATACTCTTGTGAAATACTAGCAAGAAGTAGCCTTCAAAAACGCTTTTTAGAAGCTCTTAGAATACCTCCTAAATAAAAGTTCATAGACAATAATTATGAATGCTATCACCCGGGACGAGGGAGACATTTCTAGGTGCCATGCCAACTGCCCGTGTATGACGATAAAATTAAAATTTAAATAGTAATTACGAACGGGATGACAAAACGGCGATATAGAAGAAACATCATGAGCTTGGACAATAATGGAGGCGAGTCAAAATTATCCGCGATTTGATACAAAGTCTAAAACAGATAACGCTTCCATTAGCCTTCTAGTTTTATGTCGAGAAAAAAAAAGTGGATCGCTAGAAGAATAAAACTTGTTAGTAAGTACTTCGTTTAGAAATCAAAGTCGAAAATAGAAAATTGTTCATAATAGTAGAAAATCGAACATTAAAGAATCCATACAAGCAGCATAAAATCCGGAATGATGGAAAGATTTCAATTAACGATAGAAAAATAGGAATTTACCTCCAGTTTTCTGATCCTAGCCAAATACAAAAATGAAGGAATCTGAGTAATTTCGAAAACTGACGAACTGAATGATCGATCAGCAAGATAAAATGGGAACTTTTTCCCGAAGAATAAATATACAGAAAGGGGGAAAATGGCAGTATATGCAACTCAATCGCATAGATTTAACTTTCCCTCTCCAAATTTTGCTTCTAATTATAACAAACTTACGGTAGCAGAAGAATCCAGTAGTGATCGGAATTTTTTGCAGAAATTTCCTAAAGCTCGATAGAATTATTCATCGTTTAGCTTCGTGTATCGATCATCAGTGTTAACTAAGTAACTTGTCGTGTGCTCCCAATACTTTTACATAGTCCCCCTGAATAGAGAACTACAAGGACGTACCGTTATTTACCCATTACTTTTTGAATTGTTTACTTATTTGCATTGTTAGCTTGTTTTTTTTTTTTTTTTATTATCATTTCTACGGGACATATGTTTATTCCCGTGTGTTAAATAATACTGATAAATTACCCTCGGGAATAACGGCTTGACTTTGAGTTCAATTTTCATTTTAAGTTCATTGTATGGATGCTTGAAAGTTTGCTTCAAAAAGCAAAAAAGCCTGTAGGCTTTCTAATCAAAGATATACTTCATTTTCATTGGTATCAGTTTAGACTAATGTAGTCAACCGCAAGCACATAGCAATCTAAACTGCTATGTACTTGCATAACAATTTAGACTTATAATTGCTGGCTACACATGTGCGCAAAAGTTTAAACCGATGTTAACGATTATATAGGTAGGTATTAACTTCAGCTAATGTTACTTGTTATGCATAATAAAGACATCGAGGAACATGCCTTTTTTCCCTCAGCAGTTACAGAAATTTCTCTGTCAAAGTTGGTGGAACAAGGACTGGAGTAATGAGTGGACTGGAGTAATGCAAATAAATTTTGTGAATAACGCCAATGATTTGAAGCGCTGATAGAGATCAATTTATCGATTTTGAAAAAGATATAAGTCACCGATAGAAATTAACGTTTCCTCATTTTATGGGTCATAAATCACAGGTGCGGGAATAGAGCATCTGGTATTCCTTTGTGTTCCATTTGTTTATCACGATTCATCCGATACTGGATAAAAGTGGCTTACCAAATAAGTAAATTGACTACATTTGACAACTTTTAAGTCTTAGAATTCTTTTCAATAAGCCCATCATATAAGGCTAAATTCGTCAGGATAACAATCTGAGTAATCAAATAATGCAAGAAATCTTGGTCTCTATGAAACTATTAACAAGAAAATTAATTCATAAGAAAAAAGAAATCCCACTCACAGTTTTTGGGTTTATTTATGCAAAAGAGCAATGCAGATTTCATACAACCTGAGATTCTGAAATATCTACGTCCTATGATTTCGTCCTCTTATATCTGCGTATGTCCTATAATATTGAAAAAGTTCTATAATATTGAAATACAGAGGAAATAATGTCTCTTCCTATTTTTCTACAGATTGTTTGTTCTTATGGTTCGCCGCCAGTTGTACGTTTTCGGATGTGCAAGTGACGGGCAATTGGCTTTTCGGCCAAATTCTGCTGGAAATGATGCCCAAATGATGCTTTTTCCGCATTTGGTATATGGTGCACCAACCGGACAGCATGGTGTTACTGTGAAAGCTGTTGCTAGTGGTGAAAAGCACACGCTGTTTCTGGCTAATGATGGAAAGGTTTGGTCTTCTTTTTTATGTCAGTTTCTTTCATTTTCGGGTTGGTTCATTTTTTTTAAAACCTTTGATTATTTCCATATGTCTTCTTTTAATTTGCTGCATCTTTACACCTTTCTTTCTTTGTGACCAGTCTTTGTGAAATTCTGGAATTTGTCTCATGGACAACAAGTTGTCATTTGAAAAGTATTCTTTTAGTGTACGGCCATAACTTTCTGCTGTGCATTATGAATGATTGTTTCAAATGTTTTTTTCACATCGTTCTTTCTGACTAGAATTCTGTACAATTAAATTCGATTTCATGGTTTCAGAAATATTCGTTGAAATGTGATAAGGTTTTTAATTAAATATGCGGGAGGTTGGATTTGGTGGTTTTTCGAATTTCCGTTTCTTTAATTTTATTGTTTGATAATTTGATTAAGTTCAAATTTCAAAGTGGATCAAAATAACATCCTTTCATGTTTTTTCTTTATTTATTGTTAAAATACATTGAAAAGTTATAGGTTTGGTCATGTGGTAGTAATTATAATGGTGAACTTGGTCGAGGAGGTGTCAAAGAAGGCTCATATACCATATATCCAGTACACATATCAAATGCAGTCCGTATCATCCAAATATCAGCTGGTCGAAGTCACAGTATGGCAGTTTCAGACGATGGTCGGTTGTTTGCATGGGGTAGTAACAGTCATGGGCAACTTGCAATGTCTGGTGATATCCTTATTTCTGACACACCCAAGTACTTTTTATTGTTTTCTAAAAATTTTCTTCATTAGTTTTTTGTGATTGGCTGAAGAATAAATAAAACCGAGTTTTAATGGTAAATTCAAACCATCAATATACATATGTACATATATATATATATATATATATATATATATATATATATATATATATATATATATATATATATATATATATATATATATAT